TGCTGTAGCTGAACCCAGGACAACCTGCAAAATGAGTCTGTAGGCAGTTAAGTCAGGCACAAAGAGAAGTGATCTCCCAAACCTTGAAACCTTGCTTCTCAGAGAGGAGGGTGCTCAGAGCCTCTATGGGATAAGTAAGACTGGCCCATTGAGACTAGGAAGAGGGTAGGAAAAACCGATGTGCCATGCAGATGATGTTGGGTGTTTGCATTAAAGGACACAGGCTGATGATTAGGGCCTGGCATAAGCATTAGCTAAGTGAACTGGCTGTGGGAAACTCCTGAGCACGACAAAAGAAATTGCTGACCACAGCAAACAGTTAAAAGCTGACAGGATTTATGGTGCCATGAGGAAGAGCCAGATTTCACTGGCAGTTCAGGGTAAGAGTGTCTGGTGGGTTTGGGATAGCGTTCCAGTGTGTGGAGGTAGAGAAGCAAGAGGTTAGGAGCAGTGGCAGCAGGAAGGCTTAGGAGTGCAGTTTGGAACACAGCAGGGCTGCAGGGCAGGATCCCTGCCCTTGCTGATCTGGCTTTCCCCAAACTCCATGCGCTGCTCAAAAAGCACTTTGTGCAGTTGGATCTCCTTCAGGACCTGTAGAAGCTCTGGCCCCGCTCCGCTCTGCAGCAGATCGTAGTTCTCGGCTGGGTCGGACTCCAGGTCAAACAGCAGTGGGGGCAGGTGGGGTGTCAGTGGGGTGAGCCCATGGCAGGCCTCATCTGGGGTTGTATCACTGTGCAAGGAACCTACAAAAGAATCCACCAGCGTAACTCAGGTTCTTCTTTTGGAGCTTTGGACAGCAAAACTAAGCAGGACATCACAAAGCTGCTATGCAGAGAAGAGAAGGCAGCACTAACCTTGTGTGAAGTAATGGGCCTTGTACTTCCCAAACCTGACAGCGAAGGAACCATGAAGGGGATCAGGGGACGGCGGGTAGAAGAACATCGTCAGACGGGGACTCTGTGGGAAGTAGCAGAGTGAAGCTCACCTGTGCAGCCATAAGGCTGAAGAAGAGCCAGGGACAGGACCAGGCAGAGACTCCAGGGAGTCACACAGGAGCCCAGATGCTACAGTAAGAACATGATCAGAGAGGGGGGGCAGCTGACGAGCAGCAGCATTGGTTGCTCCCTACTCAAAGCTACTCAGGCTCTGCCCATGTACTGCAGCCATCAGCTGGGCTTGGCAACATGCTGCAGTTGTTACAGCAGCCTGAAGCAGCCCAGGGACTCCATGGCAAGTCCCAGGCCAGACCAGCCCTCAGGACTCACCTTCCCTGAATCAAACAGCACTGGGCTCAGGTCATAGCCATCCAGGGCAACTTTGGGAAGAGCTGCTCCAGCTAGGGCAGTCAGTGTTGGCAGGATGTCCAGCGTGCTTGCCAGCTCATGCGTCACTCCTATCACCCACCACAGCAAGGCACAAGGAAACATTCAAGTACCTGATCCCACTCCCATCTCTGCGTTCCCACTTCCCTTCCACCCTCCACTTATCCCAGGGCAGCCGAGCTGCCTCAGCTGGCATAAGCACCCAAAAGGCACAGGCAGTGCCAAGTCTTACCTGGAGTGATACGGCCTGGCCAATAAGCCACCGCTGGCTCCCGCATCCCACCTTCGTATGTTGTGCCCTTCCCACACTTCAGAAGGCCAGAGCTGCCTCCCCGTGCCATCCGCAAGGTGGAAGGGCTGTGAGAGAGAAGAAGCACCTACCATCAAGTTTCACAGGTCTACACTACCCCTTCCCTGGTACTGCCAACAGGGCCATGACAAGAGAGACACTGTGCCAGTGAGTGGCACGGTGCCAGCAAGTAACACTACCATCCTTGTCAGCCTCGGGACACAGGAGGCATGCGACAAGTGAAGAAGCCAAGGTGTGTGAGAGGCCTAAGAAGGGCACGAGAGACCAGTGCCACCCCAACACCAATGGAACTGGGTCTATTCGGGCTGCTGCCCACTCCTGGCCTGAACCCTGTGAGGTTTCTGTACACGAGAGGCACAGCTGAGTCACAAGAACAAGGAGCAGATCATGCACTGGGTCCTCTCCAGAGCAGGATCCACCTCCTGCCTCACTTCAGGTCACTGGGATCTCACCTGGCAATGCCATGTGCCCTTTCCCCCAACCAACCAACGCCTCATTCCACTTCCCCCACACCATGCCAGCAGAATCTTACCAGTAACAAAGTCCCCCATGGCTGACCCCACTCACCCATTGTCAGAGGTGAAAAACACCAAAGTTGCGTTTGCAAGACCATTTTCCTCCAGTGCCTGTAGCAGCTGTCCCACTGAACCATCAAACTCTGCAAGTGCATCTCCAAATGGCCCACGCCGTGACTGCCCTGTGTACTCCTGGCTTGCAAACTGGGGGTAGTGGGTATGCTGGAGAAAGGGCAGAGAAGACCGCTACGAAAACTCCTAGAGCTGCTTCTGCTTCCCAGTTCACCCAGGGACAGCCAGCACCCCAGAAAGGACATGGAGATAGGTGACAAGACCCCATGAGGTGAAAGGAGGCTTGTTCCCAAGCTCCAGAAGAGTCTTCCAGAAATGGCACAATGGAGACATGTGCAGATTTGGGGTGGGAAGTTTTCCCGGCTGGACATGTTGCCCAGGGAAGCAGGCAAAGCTCCAGGAAGAAGCAGCCCAAGAACATCATAAGCACAGTGCTGCCACAAGGCCAGGACACAGGAGCACCACCCTCAAGTCACCCAGCGGCAGGTACTGACTGCTCAGCACAGCCCTGGGCTGCAGGAGCCGAGATACTTCCTTGCTCTCCACAGAGGACAAAGGGTCCCTTCCCCACCCCTGGGCCCGCAGCAGCCCTCCCCTCTCCTACGTGGGAGGCATAGTAGAGGAGGAAGGGGACGCCTCGTCGGGCACAGTCAGCGATGAAGTTCCGGGAGAATTTGTTGTACAGTGGCACCAGATCAGGGAAAG